AGGAGGAGGAGAAGAATGGCTAAAAATGTCCAGACTCTACCATCAACTCAGTCAAATGGTAGAGAGGATGCAAACACAGTGGCCTCCTTACCAGAGCCTCAGATATTAACATCAAGTAAAGCATCCAGCACTTCCACAAACATAACATTTTTATTTGCTAACATTCAGGGTATAAAAACACGCAAATGTAACAAGTGCACTTCATAGATGGCCTCTTACAAAAGGCAAATGCAGTGTTTGCAGTCCTAACGGAAACTCACACCAAGGACTACCATGATGGTGAAATATGGATTTCGGAGTACAATCTTTTCAGATGTGATAGGAAACACAGTCTACAGGGTGGGGTCAGCCTGTACATCAAGGACACACTCATCTGTACTGAGCTGCTAAACACCTCAAATGATATGGTGGAAGTGCTGATAATCAAAATAGAGATCTTAAATGTAGTTATTGTCCTTGTATATAAGTCACCAGAGGCAAATTATCAGCAGTTTAACCCTTAAATGGCGCATAGCTATATACCATTTGACACCCACAGGCGCATGCCAAAAAAAAAAAAATATATATATGTTTCTTGCTAACCTGTTAATTTGTGTTCACTGATCACGGGAAAAATAATAAAAAAATCGTAAGTGGCATATATTGCCCACTATAGGGCGGGGAATTCTGGCAAAAATCAGGCGCTGACTGAGCGTGCATCCCAGGCGGTCTGTTGATCGCCAGCTGTCAGGCCGGAGTTGCCACAAAGAGATAATTACCTAATTATTTCAATGTCTCTGATTTATTTTTCGTAGTTTTTTTGCTGTAATATTATTCAATAGTGTATAGTGTGATATATTTATATAATAAAATGAGTGAATCATCGCTGTACTCAAAAATATGGTGTGCATATTGTTGATTCAATTATGTTCATCAAACAGTGAACAAATACTTTGTCGGTTATTACACTATATACATAGGTTATATATAGGTATCTGCATGTTTTGTTCACCATGACGAACCACTAAGTTGGTATGCTGAGTGGCAGTGGCAGGCAGCGACTGGCTGCCACTGGCTGCCACTGGCTGCCACTCCCTCCCTCACCTCACCTCACCTCACCTCACCTGACTTGCCACCATTCTCCACCCACCATACTGTTTTTGCTTTTATATACAGACGTTATATATATGTATTTACATGTTTTGTTCACCATAACTGTACATCTAAGCTTGTATGGTGAGTAAAGGCACAAAGATGTAGCTACTCACACAGTCAGCTGGTGGCGGCCGCCCTCAAGGCCAGACGCACTAATATTTCTCCTGCAACAATACTGTTTGTGGTGTTATTATGCTATATACACACATTATATATAAATATCTATCTGTTTTATTCACCATACTTGTACAAGTAAACTGGTATGGTGCCCAAAGACCATCGTGGTCATCAGTAAACAACATGGTAAGTCGTGCAGACGACGCTCCTCCCTCACCAAAATGGCGGCTCCCAACCTCCTACTCTTGCTGTTATCTCACACAATACACACGTTATGTATAAGTATCTACATTTGTGTTCACCATAGCGAACCACTAAGCTGGTATGGTGAATGCAGTCAATAAAAGGTGGCCACACACACTCAAAAGACAACGCCACCATCCTCCCTCCCACAGCATTACTCCTCCCTCCATGGCGCACAGCGCCAAATATCACCACAATCCTGCTATTATCAGAACCCTGGTCAGTTTTATCACAGTCAGGGGTCTTCTGTAATAATATCATCGCTACATAATAGCATGAACAAGTATATTATGGCATTTTTAGGCGATGCTGTGGTCACAAGCTGAACAGCAGTGCTGTTAGTTCATGCTGCATGCGTCAGGCTTGGTAGCTGACTCAATACTGAGGCCCCTAACACCCGGGAGTTTGGCCCACGATTTTTTTTAAAAATGGCGTCTGTTTACAAGAGCCCTGATGAAGGTGTGGTGAACCCCGTGCATCCGCGGGCCGTTTAAATCTTGCGTAGTACTCCAAAGCATCACATGATGCGATGCGCAATTTGCTGCAAGTCGGTCAAAGCATCATATGATGCGATGCGCAATTGAAGGGTTAAAGACCAAGTAATGAAAATAGAACACTGCTTGGAAAACCTCACAAATCCAGCCCCAAACATCATCCTGCTTGTGGACTTCAACCTATGGCACCTGAAATGGAAGACCATAGCTGATACAGTTGTATCAGAGAGAATTCCGGGAAGTAGCCTATATGAACAGTCACATGCAAATGACCTGCTACGTATGTGCGACAGATTTGCCTTAAACCAGCAAATAGTAGAACCAACTAGGAAGGAGAACACACTGGACCTCATTTTCACTAATAATGATGAATTGATCAGGAACATAATGATTACAAATACCTTTTACTCAGATCACAACTTGATTGAAGTTCTGACAAGCATGGGGAATAGACCTTCAAAACCAGTCTCAATTCCCAGTGGAGGAGATTTCAGCAAATTCAACTTTAATAATATACAGATAAACTGGGAGCAAATAAACCAAGACTTCACAGAAATAAGCTGGTAATAACAGCTAGAAAATGCAAACCTGAATCAGTGCCTGGAAAAAATAAGCTCAGTAGCACTAGAAATATGCTCAAACCGTATACCCCTTAGAAAAAAGTGGAAGAGATGTAGATTGGAATGGGAATGTCGTTCCCTCTATAGGCGAAGAAAACAAATCGCGGAACAACTTAAGAGTCGCACCTTATCTCAAGAATGGCGAAGAAGGTTAGGTAGAGAAATAGAAATAATTGAACTAAAGCTACAGGAATCATATAAAACCCAGGAGAGGCAAAGAGAGCAAAAGGCCATCAGCGAAATAGAGAGAAATCCGAAATATTTTTCTCCTTTGCAAAATCAAGATAAAAAACCACATCTAGTATCAGGCCCCCTGCGAAAGGGAGATGGAACTTTCACAGATGACAACAAAGAAATGAGCGAAATACTGAGGAATCAGTACGACACTGTTTTCAGCGAGCCACTAAACACACTGAAGATTGATAACCCAAATGAATTTTTCATTTGATATAATACCAACATATCATATATGGATATGATACCAACATCATATCATATATCAGATGTCACCCTATCCCCACTGGATTTTGAAGAAGCCATAGACAGTATACCTATGCACTCTGCACCAGGCCCTGATTCTTGGAACTCTATATTCATCAAGAACTGTAAAAAAACACTATCGCAGGCCCTTCACATTCTTTGGAGACAAAACCTAGATACTGGTGTTATCCCTGACATACTAAAAGCAGCAGAGATAGCACCACTCCATAAAGGAGGAAATAAAGCAGAGGCAAAAAATTACAAACCTATAGCACTAACATCACACATCATAAAAATCTTTGAGAGAGTGCTAAGAAGTAAGACACAAAATACATGGAATCACAGCATCTCCATAACCCAGGACAACACGGTTTCAGAACAGGGCGCTCTTGCCTATCACAGTTACTGGACCACTATGACATGGCACTAGATGCCATGGAAGACAAACAAAACGCTGATGGAATTTACACAGATTTTGCAAAAGCCTTCGACAAATGTGACCATGGTGTTATTGCACATAAAATGCATTCAAAAGGAAATACTGGAAAAATTGGCAGATGGATCTACAATTTCCTGATTAATAGAACCTAATGTGTAATAGTCAACAAAATCAAATTCGGTCCATCAACTGTGAAGAGCTCAGTCCCCCAGGGTACTGTGCTTGCTCCAGTACTTTTTCTCAACCTTATATCGGACATAGACCAGAACACAACCTATAGTACTGTATCATCCTTTGCAGATGACACTAGGATTTTTATGAGAGTAGACATCATAGAGGACACGGCAAACCTCTAATCAGATGTAAACCAGGTCTTTGTATGGGCTACAGAATATAATATGGTGTTTAACGAAGAAAAGTTCCAGCTCATGCGCTACGGAAAAAAGAAAAATATAAAAACAGAAACCACTTACAAAATGCGGTCAAATCATAACATAGAACGAAAAGGCAATGTAAAGGAGTTGGGTGTACTCATGTCGAAGACCTTACCTTTAAAAAACACAATAAAGTAGCCGTCACAACTGCAAGAAAAATGACAGGTTGGATAACAAGAACCTTTCACACAAGAGATCCTATACCGATGATGATACTTTTCAAGATGCTAGGGCTCTCTAGAGTGGAATGCTGCTGCACAATGACAGCCCCTTTCAAAGCTGGAGAAATTGCTGACCTGGAGAGCATGCAGAGATCCTTTACTGCTAGAATCCACTCAGTAAAGCATCTAAAATATTAGGACCGACTAATGATCCTAAATCTGTATTCTCCTGAGCGCAGGCTGGAGATACATAATAATTTATACGTGGAAAATAGTAGAGGGGCTGGTCCCAAACCTGCACACAGAAATAACATCACATGAGACCAGAAGGCATGGCAGGATGTATTATGTACAGGTATACCTTCATGGCAGGTATTATGCACAAAAAATGTGCATAATACCTCCCATTGAAAGTAGAGGTGCAACAGGTACTCTGACGGAGAACTCTATCAACATCAGAGGCCCAAGGCTGTTCAATACGCTTCCACTTCACATAAGGGGCATAACTGGCCGACCCCTCACAGTGTTCAAGAGAGAACTTGACAAACATCTCCAAAGGATACCTGATCATCCAGGCTGTGACTCATACGTCAGACTGCGAGCAGCCGCATCCAACAGCCTGGTTGACTAGTCCAGCAACGAGGAGGCCTGGTCGACGACCGGGCCGCGGGGTCACTAAGCCCCGGAATCACCTCAAGGTAAGGTACCTGATTTTTCATGATCTTGTCACATGGGCCAAGTGAGATCTTGATTTAGTAAATAAATGAGTGATCTGCACAGAAAGGAGCTCTTTTTTTCTATGACATTATTCTTCATAGTTATTTTGTAATTTTTTATAGTGTACTCCATGAGTTCCTTACTTTAATCTTCTCTTGCAGCTAGTTGACTCTGGAGGGAATGCAACTGTTGAATCTGGGGAGCTGGAATTTGAAGTGTCACGATGGGTATGTTCTGGAGTTAGAATAGAGTGTGTCAAACTGAATCCTCCAACCAACAACCTCAACAAGTGGGTACGTTACCTCACAACCTCTGATAGCGTCAGTGTTCGCCTAACTTGATGTCCTCATCAGATGCTAATGTGTATACATATGGTGCTTTATTGCTTTAATATTGTATGATGCATTTTTGTTATTCAATATTAAACCCAAGTGCTTTCTAAAATATTTTATTATCCTTGGATGATAGAAGGGTATTCATCCTTCATATTCATAGGTATTGTATGCTTGACTTTTGTTCATGATATGATACCATTTATGAGCTATGGCCTTACAGTTGCTCCCTAAGACAGCGTTTATATAATCTGCCTAGGACAATTTGTGCACCAGGTTCTAGTTAACCTATTTACGGTTGCCTCTTGTTATGTCATCGATGGGGAGGATGGAGAATATCTGAAGCCACCAATGAGTTACTGCTCACTCGCTAGACAAAATAACAGATCAAATCACTAAGCACCCCTTACACGCTATTATTGGAATCTCATGAAAAATTAATTTATTGCTGTGGTATCTACTGGCTTACAACACTTAAGACACCTAAAATGAAAAATGTGGCAAATACAGTTATCTCAGTGAGAATTCCAGGAAATGGTCTAAATGAACACTCGCACACAAGTGACCTCTTGCAGATGTGCGACACATTTGCCTTAAACCAAATAACTAGAAAACTCCCTAGGTCTTGTTTTACAATGATGAACTGATTAGGAACATAATGGTTACAAATACTGTACATGTTACTCAGATCGCAACCTAGTCAAAGTTCAGACAAGTGTGGGCAATTTTAATAACAGATTAACTGGGGAACAAATAAACAAAGAGCTTGCAGAAATATGCTGGGAAGAACAGCTACATAATGCAAAACTAAACCAGTGCATTGGAGAAATAGGCACAGTAGCATTAGAAATATGTGAAAGTCTCATATACTAAGGAAAAAAAAAAGGGTGCAAACTGAAATGAAAATAGCATTCCTTCTATAGGTGAATAAAACAAACACAGAAAAACTCAATTGCTCAATTTTATCCCAGAATGACGAGGAAAGTTGTGTAGAGAAATAGAAACGATTGACCTAAAGCTGCTAGAATCATAAAATTCAGGAGAGACAAAGAGAGCAAAAGACCATCAGTGAAATAGAGAGGAATCCAAAATACTTTTTCTCCTAGGCAAAATCTAGAACAAAAACAACATCTGGCATTGGGTCCTTGTGCAACAGGTAGTCAAGTGCACCTACTTGTTAGTAGGTAGTAAACCAGCCAATATGCTGACCACCAACTGACTACACAGGTCATGACTCTCCAGACACATGCTTCTCTTCCCTGTGAGGGTGGTCACTCCAGAGGTGACAAAATGTCACTGCTCCTTGTGCCTTTGTGCAGGGGCCACATTCTGGCTATGGTCCCTAGTAGGCCTAAGAACTTCACAGCTTATGTGACATGCTAGATGGGAACTATCTCTGTGTATAGCTTCAGCGAGCCACTGCAGCTCACTCAGAAATTGGAGTTTCATTACATTAAGCACTGCGCTGCTCGCCTTCCAAATAGGCACCCCCCACCCCTTTGTGCACAGGAAATAAATTCTCGGGAAAAAATTTATTTTGTTTTTGAAAATGTTAAATATCCTTCCCTGATCACAGATATGTAAAAAAACAATCAAAATTGTACCTTCTTTGGCTGCAATGGGGTCTGGAAAATAGCGTGTGATGTCACGATTTGGTGGTCGCCCGTGATGTAGACTCCCGAAGCCAGTTGCCCGCCAGCTTCAACATAAGTTGCCACAAATATTTTTTTTTCATATTTTGTGTACATTTCCAAACACATTTGTTTTGTTTTTTCTTGCCAATCCTATGTATAGTGAACACATACACAATATTATGGCAATAGAACATTCGTACTGTCCCAAGACACTGTTATATGTGTGTGTCACAAATATGTCCATATATATTGCTCATATATCCAATGTTTCATGTTCATTTAAGTATATTCACAACATATTTATACACTATACACTATCATATATATATTCACCATCAACACACTCAGAACTCCGAGAGTGTGAGCTGCTACACCCAGCCAGCACTCCCTCACTCCTCCAACACTTGCAGGCAAATGTAAAACAAAACCAGGTCTATTCTATAAATTCATAAACAACAAATTGCAGGTAAAGGATAATATTCAGAGGTTGAAAATGGGAAATAGATTAACGGAAAATGAAAAGGAAATGTGTGAAACATTAAACGAAAAGTTCCAAAGTGTGTTTGTACAAAATGAAATCTTCAGGGAACCAGATCCAATAAGAATTCCAGAGAACAACATAGAGCACATAGAGGTGTCTAGAGACGAAGTGGAAAAAATGCTCAAGGAGCTAAATAAGAACAAAGCAGTTGGTCCAGATGGAGTTTCACCATGGGTTTTGAGAGAATGTGCACCTGAGCTCAGCATTCCACTTCAACTGATTTTTCAGGCATCCCTGTTTACAGGAGTTGTAGTTGATGAGTGGAAAAAGGCTAACATAGTTCCAATCTACAAAAGTGGAAGCAGGGAAGGCCCCCTTAATTATAGACCGGTATCATTGACAAGTGTAATAGTCAAAATATTGGAAAAAATAATTAAAACTAAATGGGTAGAACACCTGGAGAGAAATGATATAATATCAGACAGACAGTATGGTTTTCGATCTGGAAGATCCTGTGTATCGAATTTACTCAGTTTCTATGATCGAGCAACAGAGATATTATAGGAAAGAGATGGTTGGGTTGACTGCATCTATCTGGACCTAAAAAAGGCTTTCGACAGAGTTCCCCATAAGAGGTTGTTCTGGAAACTGGAAAATATTGGAAGGGTGACAGGTAAGCTTCTAACATGGATGAAAAATTTTCTGACTGATAGAAAAATGAGGTCAGTGATCAGAGGCAATGTATCGGAATGGAGGAATGTCACAAGTGGAGTACCACAGGGTTCAGTTCTTGCACCAGTGATGTTTATTGTCTACATAAATGATCTACCAGTTGGTATACAAAATTATATGAACATGTTTGCTGATGATGCTAAGATAATAGGAAGGATAAGAAACTTAGATGATTGTCATGCCCTTCAAGATGACCTGGACAAAATAAGTATATGGAGCACCACTTTGCAAATGGAATTTAATGTTAATAAATGTCATGTTATGGAATGTGGAATAGGAGAACATAGACCTCACACAACCTATATATTATGTGAGAAATTTTTAAAGAATTCTGATAAGGAAAGAGATCTAGGGGTGGTTCTAGATAAAAAGCTATCACCTGAGGACCACATTTTTTTTTTGAGATATATACAAGAGTTGTTACATTCTTGTACAGCCACTAGTACGCGTAGCGTTTCGGGCAAGTCCTTAATCCTATGATCCCCGGAATATGATCCCCTGCCGCGAAGAATCGTTTTTTCATCCAAGTACACATTTTACTGTTGCGTTAAACAGAGGCTACAGTTAAGGAATTGCGCCCAGTAAATCCTCCCCGGCCAGGATACGAACCCATGACATAGCGCTCGCGGAACGCCAGGCGAGTGTCTTACCACTACACCACGGAGACATAAAGAATATTGTGCGAGGAGCCTATGCCACGCTTTCTAACTTTAGAATTGCTTTTAAATACATGGATGGCGATATACTAAAGAAATTGTTTACGACTTTTGTTAGGCCAAAGCTAGAATATGCAGCGGTTGTGTGGTGCCCATATCTTAAGAAGCACATCAACAAACTGGAAAAGGTGCAAAGACATGCTACTAAGTGGCTCCCAGAACTGAAGGGCAAGAGCTACGAGGAGAGATTAGAGGCATTAAATATGAAAAAACTAGAAGACAGAAGAAAAAGAGGTGATATGATCACTACATACAAAATAGTAACAGGAATATATAAAATCGATAGGGAAGATTTCCTGAGACCTGTAACTTTAAGAACAAGAGGTCATAGATTTAAACTAGCTAAACACAGATGCCGAAGAAATATAAGAAAATTCACTTTCGCAAACAGAGTGGTAGACGATTGGAACAAGTTAGGTGAGAAGGTGGTGAAGGCCAAGACCGTCAGTAGTTTCAAAGCGTTATATGACAAAGAGTGCTGGGAAGACGGGACACCACGAGCGTAGCTCTCATCCTGTAACTACACTTACGTAATTACACTTAGGTAATTACCTCACTCCTTATACCTTACTCGCCAACATTGCTCCTCCCACCATAGTGTTATTGCTTTTTTACACTACACACGTTATGTATACATATCTACATGTTCTATTCACCATAACTATGCAAGTTAGCTGGTATTGTGTCCAAACAGCACAGTGGCCACCATACACGGCATGGGAAATCACACAGAAGCCAGCAGACGATGCTATGAGTACGACACCACCTCCCTCACCAAAATAGCTCCTCCCAACATACTCCTTTTGCTGTTATTACACAATATACACACATTGTATATACCCCCATGTACATATGTGTTCACCATTATTATAGACTGTGGGTTGGTTGGTGTTGTCGTCGTTGATCCTTCTCTATGGACAACCCAACCCACAACTCGGTAGAGTGCTTATACTAGGAGATCACCCTTGGCGCTTCTGGCTCTTGGAGAGGGGCTCAACGTCACACGTTTAGGGGATGCGGCTCCAACACTTAGCCTCGTTGTCACGTGCACACACCCACTCGAGCCGCTGTGACTCCCCACTCTCTCCTTATGAGATATGATCTCCTCAATCCCCTATGACTTACTAGTATTACCTCCTACCCTGTCCACAGTAGTGGTTCTTGGTTCTTTCTCTCTTTCTCTCTCCTTCTTTACTACCTCCTGGGAAGCCTCACTAGGACAAGGGCAAACACCAGCAAATTGTGATACATTTACTGGACAAAGCACATACACAATACATACACACATATAATAATAATGAATCCTATACTCTATAATATTACAATCAGGTTGCACTCCAACACCATCAGAACTCTATCATCAGCTTATCAAGTGGTATCCTATCTCCTGGTTCACCACCTGATACTATCAACCTCCTCAAGTTGATCAAGTCTACATACACTGTTGCACCATCAGCAAGAGAATATATATATGTATCTATAAATGTGTACCAAGAAAATCAGCATTTGAATGCAATAACATATCAGTATAAATGTTCATTGAT